TGCCCAACCTTCCTTCCGAGGAGTGGCTGGTGGGTTTGAACCGCCAGCCTTCTGGTTAGCAGTCAAGTGCCTTAGGCACTATGCTACCAGAGCTCCTAACTTTTACTTAGCATTCCTATATACCAGGTGTAGTTCACTCTCCTTATTCATTTCTACTCGAAAATAAAAGTGGCTTTACAAGCAAGGAAGTTATGACGAGGGAGGGGAAGGAGATTCGGAAGGACCTAAACAGCCAAGTATTTATTTCTCCTCTGTACCTTCTTAAACCAAAAAAGGAAATGAATTTGAAATTTGACTCTTACCAGTTTAAGCTCCCATTACCATGGAAGGCTGCTGATTTGTCACCATGACTACAAGATAAATTAAGTTGGGGGGGGGGAACAATGGTATCCATGCTATAGAAAAAAGGAAAACTAAAAATTTAGCACAGAAGCCCACCCATCAGAACCAGTAACCATCAAAACCGCATGTGACTGATAAAGTGTTACTCTTCCCTGGGGTGATGAAAATTAAACAAGAATCAAAACTTCAAGTTAGAAGTAAAAACTTCTGGAACTTCAGACCTAACTGGTAGGTATGGAAGGCTTTGGTGTCTGAGATTCTTCCATTCCACTCAAGGATAAGGCAAGAATATACATGGCTTTGATTCAGAGCTGACATACCATTGCAATATTTTTTCCCAGCAAGCACTGTTCCATAATGATTTAAAAAAAAAAAAAAATTTCAGAAAATAAACTTCCATCCTAAAAGAAATATACTCTAACTACAAAACCACTGAAATTGTTATCATTAAGAAACAGAAGCAGAAAAGCAACAAGATTTACAATTAAAAAAAAAACAACTCACTGCCATTGAGTCGGATCTGACTTATAGCAATTCCTCCTTGAGTTTCCGAGGCAGTATCACTACGGAAGCGGATTGCCCAATCTTCCTTCCGAGGAGTGGCTGGTGGGTTTGAACCACCAGCCTTCTAGTTAGCAGTCAAATGCCTTAGGCACTATACTACCACAGTTCCTCCTGAGATTTATAATAGTTGCTAAAATGCTTGAAATTTCCTTGTTTCTTTCGTAGGAGAGAAGTCAGACAGGACACTTTGAACCACGCAAGGGAGGAAAATGGGAACAGAAAAGTGGGGGTCAAGTTCAGGCAGAGCCAAGAGCCAGAGCAGCAAGAGCAAAGTGCTTTAAGCTACCTTCTCCCACTATACCAACTACTGCTGAACCTGTCAATGTATTATGCATATGAGACTATAACTAATATGAAAGCTATTTCTGTCCTATCAAAATTCACATGTTCTTCTATAATGACTTTCATGACAAAAATGCCTAGCTTCTACTGTGCCTGTAACATTTACAGACACTGCTGTACTTCACATACAGAATCCACTCTAGAATCCTAAACTTGGGTGGCACAAATGATTTGTACTGGACTACAAAATTAAAGGTTGGCAGTTTGAACCCACTCAGCAGTGCATGAATAAAGGACTAGGGATCTGCTTCTGTAAAGATTTCAGCCAAGAAAATTCTGTGGAGCACTTCTACTCTGTCATACATGGAGTTGGAATTGACCCCATGGCAAGAGTTTATTCTTTTTTTAGGCAATGTTGTTAATGATACTCATGGTACAGATGGTAAAACTGAGGCACTGAGAGGTTAAGCAATTTTCCCAAGCTCACCAGCAAGTGGGAGGTTGGGATTTGGACCCAAGCAGTTTGGCTTCAGAACCAGCGAGCCTCATCTCCAGAACATTCTGCCTCTCATGCTTCCTGCCTGTCCTCCAAGGATCACACCAGGTCAGATTCTCAAACCAGGTCAAATTCCCACACCCTTGCTGGCATTAAAAAAAGAAACAGAAAGGCCTGGGAAGAAACACTTGGAATAAAATGACACAAATTTGGGTAACAAACTACCAGTTGTTTTTGTAAAACTCCCCAGCACCAATGAATAAATGTAATTAAATAAGGCTCCAGCTTAATCTTTTTTTTTCCAACGGAAGGGAAGGAGAGCAAAGCTAATATAATTGCCAAACACAGCAGAAAAGTGTTTATCAGACAGATACTGAGACCCAACATTATACCTGGCTCTATGGGCCACATGAAAAGGTATGGGGTCTGTCCCTCTGTTTATCCTCTGGGACAGGAATTGAATCACAAAAGCACAGGTTATTTATCTTGGCAGATTGTACTTGTTATACCCTACAGGAAGAAAATCTTTCAAGATTTTAATGAAGGGCATTAAATGACATAATTTTAAGAGGGAAAAAGTTCAACATTTAAAAGAATTCAATCTGGTGGAGAATCTCTTTAAAAGAGTTTGATTTCAAGAGCAAGGAAAAAACAAAAGCAAAAAACTGGTATACTGGTATTTAAAACATGCGCTAATAAAACCACCTAGTTTACTCTCTTCATTTAATCTCTGACTTAAATATAAATTTTTAAAACCCAAAGCCAAGATCTAAGCTAAAAACTTAGCCACAGAGTGAATAGAATGAATTATACTAGTTACTAGTCTATATATATATGTTGTTGTTATTTTGTTGTTATTTGCCCTCCAGTCGGCCCAGACTCATAGTGACCCCTCCTTGGGTTTCCCAGGCAGTATCACTATGGAAGTAGGATTGCCCAACCTTCCTTCCGAGGAGTGGCTGGTGGGTTTGAACCGCCAGCCTTCAATATATATATACACAA